AGACTACGAGAGAGAGAATGAAAACCTGCGACATGAGCTTCACCAGATCAGACAACAGCAAGGTGAATTCAGTGCAGCTGTATTGGCATTTCTTTCCCCTTTGGATTAAAGCCTTGCCTTGCTCACTGGAGCTCCTTAGGAGGATATTTCAAAAGTACTTCAAATGGTTCATGCTATATCTGCTGCCATACACTAATATACGTGTACTATTTCTGTGATATTCTTGTTTTAAAAAATAATTTCACAGTACTGCCATGCAATTTCCTGACCAGTAGAAACTCCTCTTTCTTCCAGAGAGTCAGAGCAAGGAGCTGGCAGAGTTACTGGCTCAGGAGGACCTTGGGGAGATGGGCTTGAGCAGCCCCAGTGAGCAGGTGGCTTACTTGCTGGTGGAGAGGGCCACATTGCTGGAACGACTGGAGGCTGCTGAGAGGAGACTGGAAAGTCAAAGCCTCACTGGCAACTTGATGGATTTTCACCAACAGGTGACCTGCAACAGAGTGTTTTGTTTCTTCTGATCATTTCACAGGAAATTATCAATATGAGTCTATTTGATTAATATAGCAGGCACAGTGATGTAGTTAAGTTTCATCAACTCAAATCACCTGTAAATAAGGCTTTTTTTGAAAGTATAATGTTGAACAGTGAATGTACAGTTTTCTTTCCTGTTGAATTTTCAAATGAACCTTTCAAAAGTCGTCATACTTTAATGGTTAACTACCCAAAGAAAATGTAGAGACTATATAAACATGATTGAGTTTCTGTCTTTCTGTGACACAGGAACAAATTCATCCCACAATGGAGGAGGAGCTAAGGCAGCAGAAAAGCACAGTTAACATGACAAAGGTGAGGTGACTGTCATTGTACCCTGACTGAGCATTAACCTCTCAGACTTTTCAGGTGGAATAAAGTTGGTGAAGGAATAGAACAACCTAATTTTTCCAGTTAAAGTACAGCAATACAGCTTGGTAGTTGTTCAGTGTCTGTTGTGAATGTGCACACACTGGTCTTTCCTGTCAGCAGTGTTCATCCCAGAGTCCATGGAGGAAACTGTTTGGGCCACGCAGGTCTGGTCAGAGCAAACACAATATTAACCCTGTAGGTTCCCACCTCACAGCTTACACTAACTAAGTCACTAACACTGATGTTAGGATAAAGAATCGCACAAGGGCATCAATGGCTTGTTTCAGAGTGATACTACTTTTTCAAATGCTGACGATGTGCCTTGATATACGCATGATGCAGATGACATTACTTCTCAGAACAGCACTTTTCTAACCACCGGTGAGTGCTCAAAAAAGGGTGGATGATCGAAACAGTAGTGGCATGTCACAGATAACAGCATGTGTATTTTTTGGCCCACCGGTCTGTCTATGCAGGTGAATGGTGAAGTATAAGATTGTACTGTATCTCATTGCCCTCACCTCCTGCTGTGATGATGAATCTCAACCTCAAAATGCATGTTTCTTTCAACAGCACAATGCGTCACTTGCCTCTCCAGTTTAACTGCCAGTATTCTTTCCTGCTGTAATCTTCCATCTCTAACTATACAAACTTCCCTCTTTAACGTAAGGCCCACAGTGAGGAGATTTCCCAGAAGCAAAATGAGTGCCAGCGGCTGGAGCGGGACCTGGAAGAGGCATCTAGGAGGCTGACGATGGCTCATCAGGATATCCGTAGACTCAACAATGAGCTGGATGCTGTCAGAAGCAACAGTCTAGCCTCAGGTGATATGTTGTAAAGACCTACAGTGTGTATCCCTAAAAATGCTGTGAGTTTGTGTTACACTTGGATGAGATGTTTCTAAAGACTGCACACACTTACAATTAACAGTTTTGCATATTGTTGTTGCTGAGGTCATCATAATAAACGCACACACAATGGCATTGGGTATCCATGAATGCCCAGATTTACACATACAGTTCCAGTGTCCACATACAACACCCACATCGTTGCCTCCAACCATTAAAATATTTTAATGTCCACATACTGTTGTCAGGCTACAGATGTTTAATTAATATAACAACTTCACTTTCTAATCACTGCATTTTTCAGTGTAGTTTGTTCAACTCAGGTTTTATTGCCGCCAAGTGGATGAAATCATTAACAGCATTATAAGATAAATGTTTTGAAAAGTATGAATTAGTAGGAGGCATATTTTCTGCTTTATAGCATTAAATAGATTCTTATAATCTTAGGATCTGAGCTTCAGGGAATGGTCGAAGAAGTAGAGAACCTGAGGAAGGAAGTGAAGACACTGAAAGACTGTGGTGAGGCAGACCTTAGTGTGATATAAATTACTGCTAGAGATACCATGTGACTAGGAGGACGATTCACCATTGCTTTCACATGTCTCTCCCTACTGGCTCTCACACTTTTCAAATAGAGCATTCTGTTATTGTCGTATGTGCACATCTGGTTGGAGTAAAATACTCCATTGTATTGTGAGAAATATTTAGTCATATTTTTCCTTCCCTCATATTGGTAGTGTTAAAGCTGAATCTGACTTTATTTAATGGTCATGAATTTCTCCCCACAGATAGGATGATGCTGCAGCAAGCTAAAGAGCAAAATGATAGACTAGATGCTGAGAACAGAGCTCTGAGGGAGAGAGTGTGCATTTTAGAGTCAGGAAAGAAAACTCTCCTGGACCAGGTTGGCACTCACTGAATCTATTTATTAAAATAAAAGCTAAAAAAATTTACAACGGGTTTTGCTGCAGCAAAACTCATGTTTGATGTCGTGTTTGTGCAGTTGACAACAAATGATGCAGACTCAGATGGTGTAGCTGAAGAGGATCGAAAGGACAAAGGCGTTGACAGTGAACCACAAAATCAGTCAACCTTGTCAGCTCAAGAAACGGATCACATTCACAAACGGTACATACCTTACTTAACAACTACATTAAGATTATCACACCTACTCTTTCTGACTGAAATTGTCATCATTCTCTTATAGGTGTCATGAGGCGATGGAGGATGGGCTCATGCAGGTGAAGGACCTGCAACGGCAACTCCAAAGGCTGCGCAAGGAACAGGAAGAGTTGGAGGAGAGGAACGAGGAGCTGGAGGCCCTGCTGGGGGAGGCCCAGAATGCCAGCAAGGAGGACAGGCATCGCCATGAGGGAGAACTGGAAGGACTGCACAGGAGGGTAATGAACAGCACTGAATTCTTGCTCAAAATTTATATTCAATTTGTTAGCCAGTTTCCCAGACATGTATTGATGCCACTCCTTTACTAGAAGAACTCAGACAGTTCACTTTACTCTTGGATCTGTCTTAGAGACAGTCTTCCCTCTAATGGTTGAGTATAAACTGCGCTGGTTTTGCAGGTCAGAAACCTGGAGGCAGAGCTGAAGAAGCAAAACACCCACGAAAAAATGTTGAGAAACGGGGGCAAGGTCAAAGTCACTGAGTCCTACTTACAGCTGGTAAGAGATCGCTTGCTTTTTAGTAATGTTGTTTTCTCTTTGGGTGCTGTGTGAATGAATGCAGTGTGTCAACATAGCAAGAAAACTAATATTCATGAAGACTTGACTATGTGAACTTAAATTGTTTATTCAAAGCACATTCTAATGCACAAATATGTAATCCTAATAGTTAAAATGTAAAATAAAGTGGGTTTTGGTTGGTTTTCATATATAATCTTGTAACAGTCTTGTAGTAATCAATAACAGAACAATAAATGTGACTGAGACATGGATGTACATCCACCCATGCTGATTAAAATTAATGGACAGTGTTACATTTACATTGTGACCACAAATACCTCATTTAGACTTCGAATTAAATAGAAACAAGCATAAATTTAGAGTAATGTTTATACTGCACTATTCTCTCAGGTTGCCACACACAGAAAGTTAAAATGTGGAAACCAAGAACAAATTATAACTCATCAGCTTAAATGATATTTAAATGTAATGGTAAAAGAGTTTACAGTACAGCAAATTGCACTACTCAGTGCAACCGGTAATTGTTCTTCTTTCACCATGTATGAAGCACCTAAAGGACAGCAGCCAGGAGAGAGTGGCTCTGCTAGAAGCTCGTTTGACTGAAGAGAAGGAATGGAGGAAGCAGCTGGAGATGGACCTCAGCGCCGCCCAGGCCGCCCTCAAAAAAGACAAAGAAGTAAAAACCACACCTGTACAAATCATTGTCAGCCAGAAACAGCAATAACAACAACTGCATTAATATGTGAAATTCATTTTACACCTTGAGAAGTCTAGTCCTGAGGCAGAATTTTGTCGTATTTCAAAAAATTACAAAGTTACAAAGCAGCAGTTACAAACCACACAGTAACTGCTTGTAATTCCCTCATTCTCTACACTAAAGGCTTTGCAGATAGGTGAGCGAGAGCTGAAGAAGCTGAGACTTGAGGTGAACAGCCTTCAGACAGAATGCCAACAAGGAAAAACACTCATCAAGAGCCTCACCCAAGTCAAAGGGGAAAAAGCAGTTCTGGAGGAAAAGGTCTGTTAATTTTACATGCACACTTGCTATCCTTGTAAACATTATGAAACAGGGGAAACATTCTTGCAACAAGGATAAATGGTTACAGTGCAGGGATAAATATAAGGATAAATATATACAGAAATGAAACTACACGGCGTACCTTACTACTTGAATGAACCCAATACGAAAATAGTGTATGTTTATTGCCGACAAATCAAAATTACCTTGACAACATTAAAATATGTTAGGTTGGCTTCACAACCTGTGTCATTTTGACATTTATACTACTAAAATGCGTTTCTATATGACTTTCCACCTTGGACTCACTGCCTGTCAGTTGGCCCAAATGGAGCGCGCCCACAACAGAATCCAGACTGAGCTGGAACGCTACAAGGAGAGTAACCGAACTCCAGAGGACCTGAGGGGAAACAGGCTTCAGGTCGAACACCTGCAAGAGCAAACTGACCGGCTGACTGCTGAACTCAGTAGCCTCCAGGCAACGCACAACATACTGAGGTTATTATCAGTCCAGAGTTCACAGTGTGAAAAATATTGCCTCATACAGCAGTATTTTTGAGTATGGTAGATAAGCACCTGCGTCCAGTACTTATGTCTTTTTTTCATGTTTGTCCCAAGACATGACTGGACCAAAGGAGCTTACTTGTTTTACCTGATGTACGTATTTTCCAGGGATGAAATGGCTTCTGAGCGGCTGCAGGCAGCTGAGCTCCAGACCAAGCTGAGCTCCAGTGTCCAGGAGAAGCTGATGGCTGAAGGGGAAAAAGAGAGACTGGAACTCAAGATACAGCACCTCAGCGAGCAGCTTAAGTGGCATCAAGAGCAGCTCTCCTCTACAAATGAAGCCAGCAGCATGAGGCCTGAACTGCTCACAGCTCATATAGAATCTAGGCTTAGTCCAGTGGAGAGGACCAAGTGTGAAAACTTTGATCAGGTAGCAGGATTGAATGTCCTTTGGCAGCGTCATTTGGTTTGTAAAAAGGTTCACATATGAACTCATCTTGAATAACTGTTGTGCCAGTTAGTTGTTAGAAAATTAGACAACAGGGCAGAACTGAGAGAATGTCTTTGAGCAGGACAAAGTTCAGCTGTCCAGGTTTGAGGTCCTTGAATAATGCAGTGGTTCTCCATAGCTGATCCTAACTTTTAATACATTTGTAGAGGAAGGCAAAGAGAATTTCCTCAACCAGCATCATATGTGCTTCATATATACATGTGTTGTGTTGTTCGTAGCCTTCATGCCTGAAGCAGGAGCTGACCATGCTGGTGAAGGAGCGACAGCTGGCCTCTCAGCACCAGCTGGCTTTGCAAGCTCAGGTCAATGAAGCCCAGGCACGCATCAAGGTACATGCTGTATATATGATCATTGCACATCCTCAACAGTCATGATGTTTCTGCAGTTCAATTTAGTATTTTAAAGCAAATCAAAGATTTTGTATTCAGTGAGTATAAAAAGTTTTTCATTGCTTTATGTTTCACAGCAGCTGCATTATGCCTTCATATGTCGTACTGATCTGAAAGTAGTGGCAGTCGTACAAAGGCATATTTTTAGACATTCCTTTAACTTTTGTGCTGTCTCTTTTTTTCTATTCATAATAAATCCTGATGATGATCAAAAAGGTTTTAAGCCTCTCAGTTCTAGTGGTGTCATGCTTCTTACAAAATTTGACTAAAACTATGGAGAACACATGGGATTGGTGTAATGATTCATAACAGCCAAAGTGATTTTAGCCAGAGACACTTCCAGCTGTCTGTATTTATCTGTACTTCAGCATAAACATATCTCAACCTGCTCTCATTTTTCTCTTCAGGTTCAGGACTCAGTGCTGAGCCAGAAGGCAGAGGAGGCTAAGCAGATGAAGCAGGACCTGCAGAGAGTCCAGAGCCTGTTCACCTCAGCAGAGCGAGAGCTACGCTATGAGAAAGAGAAGAGCATGGACCTGAAGAGGCACAACACCCTGCTGGACCAGGAGAAACTCAAGGTTGGTATTTAATCACAGACCTTTGGAATTTCCTGAATGCCTCTAACATTTATCACTTAATCATCCTCTTAGTCACCGAGTTACCTCACTGTGAATGCTGATTACCATGAGCAAATGTAACTGTAGCATAAATCTCAACAGGGAAGAAAGCTATATACAAAGCTATTACTGTTAGAATAGTTGTTATACAGGTGTTAGCATTTTGTGTTCATGCTCTCTTGTCTCGTGTACTTCCTTCAGCTTTGTGCAGAGCTGAAGCAGGTTCAGACCAAGCTGGTCCAGGTGGAACAGAGTCTCCACGCTCAGGCGGCTGAGTGTGAACGTCAGCAACAGAAAATAAGAGAGCTGGAGCTGGAACTGGCACGCAACTCCACAACTCGTAGTGCTACCGCCAGTCTGCAGCAGGACCTGCAGGCGGAGAGGGCACGGGTCATTGCTGCTGACAAGAAGGTTAGTGCTGGGGCAAGAAATGATCGCTGGGTGATCCCTTTGTTAGACCAAGAGAGTCTGACCAGGTCTATGGGTTTTCTGTCAAATAGATTAGTTGATTCATTTCCTCTGAAATGATCCATTTTTTTCCATAGGAATCAATACATCTAATCTGGTGTTAAATCCAGTATGCTTGTTATTTTGATGCTACTTGTTATTGTCTTGTAATTATGAATTTCACATTATCCATATGAAGGCACTCGTAGTCTAGTCAACACAGATTTAACAGTAAGTGGGTTGTCATACTAGCAATCCCTGGTTGCCAGTCTTAGACTCAGTAAAACCAGGTCACTTAGAGCAATTTAGAGTAAGCTGAATTTAGAAAGAGATAGATATGGTGCTGCAAATGGTTATTTTGAATATACAGTGAGGGACAGAAGTATTTGAACACCCTGCGATTTTGCAAGTTCTCCCACTTAGAAATCATGGAGGGGTCTGAAATTCACATTGTAGGTGCATTCCCACTCTGAGAGACAGAATTAAAAAAAAAATTCAGGAAATCACATTGTATGATTTTTAAAGAATTTATTTGTCTTGCACTGCTGAACATAGGTATTTGAACACATGAGAAACAGCAAGAATTCTGGCTCTCAAAGACCTGTTACTGTGCCTTGAAAAAGTCCACCTCTACTCCACTCATTAATCTAAATTAGTAGCACCTGTCTGAACTCTTTAAAGACACCTGTCCACCCCACAGTCAGTCAGACGCCAACTACTACCATGGGCAAGACCAAAGAGCTGTCAAAAGACACCAGAGACAAAATTGTGGACCTCCACAAGGCTGGAAAGGGCTACAGGGCAATTGCCAAGCAGCTTGGTGAAAATAAATCACCTGTTGGAGCAATTGTTAGAAAATGGAAGAGGCTAAAGACGACTGTCAGTCTCCCTCGGACTGGGGCGCCATGCAAGATCTCACCTCGTGGGGTATCACTGATGATAAGAAAGGTGAGGAATCAGCCCAGAACTACAAGGGAGGAGCTGGTCAATGACATGAAGAGAGCTGGGACCACAGTTTCAAAGGTCACTGTCGGTAGAACACTACGCCGTCATGGTTTCAAATCATGCATTGCACGGAAGGTTCCCCTGCTCAAGTCATCACATGTCCAGGCCCGTCTGAAGTTTGCCAAAGACCATCTGGATGATCCAGAGGAGGCATGGGAGAAAGTCATGTGGTCAGATGAGACCAAAGTAGAACTTTTTGGTCTAAACTTCACTCGTCGTGTTGGGAGGGAAAAGAAGGATGAGTTGCATCCCAAGAACACCATCCCTACTGTGAAGCATGGGGGTAGTAACATCATGCTTTGGGGGTGCTTTTCTGCGAAGGGGACAGGACGTCTGCACTGTATTAAGGAGAGGATGAATGGGGCCATTTATTGTGAGATTTTGAGCAACAACCTCCTTCCCTCAGCCAGAGCATTGAAGATGGGTCGTGGCTGGGTCTTCCAACATGACAACGACCCAAAGCACACAGCCAGGATAACCAAGGAGTGGCTCCGTAAGAAGCATATCAAGGTTCTGGAGTGGCCTAGCCAGTCTCCAGACCTCAATCCAATAGAACATCTTTGGAGGGAGCTTAAACTCCGCGTTGCTCAGCAACAGCCTCAAAACCTGACAGATCTAGAGGAGATCTGTGTGGAGGAGTGGGCCAAAATCCCTGTTGCAGTGTGTGCAAACCTGGTCAAGAACTACAGGAAACATTTGACCTCTGTAATTGCAAACAAAGGTTTTTGTACCAAATATTAACACTGATTTTCTCAGGTGTTCAAATACTTATGTTCAGCTGTGCAAGACAAATAAATTCTTTAAAAATCATACAATGTGATTTCCTTTTTTTTTTTTTTTATTCTGTCTCTCAGAGTGGGAATGCACCTACAATGTGAATTTCAGACCCCTCCATGATTTCTAAGTGGGAGAACTTGCAAAATCGCAGGGTGTTCAAATACGTCTGTCCCTCACTGTATATTCACATATACCATTGCATACAGCACAAACTCTTTTTAAAATTGCAGTGTGATTACCATGACCTAATGTGCCCTTGAGCTATAATAAGGTTAATTATTACCTGAATATTGAGTATGAAGAGAATTTACCTCTTAGCTTGTCAAGAAATTACGTTATCTCAGGGTCTCACTGAGTGAAGCCTGTGGCTCTGTTGTGTCGACAGGTGTTGGAGCTGCAGCAGCAGCTGAAGAGTGCTCAGCACCAGCTGCGTGTGGAGGAAGCTCGAGCCAGTGAGAGTAGCCGCATGGAGAGGGACAGTAGGGATTTGTCTGACAGCTTGTCAGCACTGAGAGCCCACCAGCAGGAGGAGCACATCACCAGGTCACATAAACTGCAGTGCTGCTGACACTTGACAGATTTACTTGGTCACAGTTGTAGGATCAGCGCCATAACCAACAATTCAAGTTTTAGGGCACGATTCTAATCCACCCTTTCTGTTGACGCTCCTATCCATCTGTTCCTCCATTCTTGCCTCAGGAGGCTGTTAGAACAACGAGAAGAAGAGCTGCAGCAACAGGTGCGCTCTCTGAGACTGAAGGAGGCCTCACTGACCAGGACAAGTACAGAGCTTAGCCACCGTGCCCAGCAGTTGGACACCCGCCTGGCCGTCCTGGAGGCTGAGCTTAGCAAGGCCAAAGAGGAGGTAAGGAAAAGTGTAATAGTTCAGGAGATGTCCGTGGTGCTGCAGGGTCTATTTCACCTTTAACATTTGACATGTTTTTCTGTTCCAAGCACAAGTTCTCAGCATTTAATAGGAGTGTAATATAAAGTGTTATCTTATTTTTAGAGGTGTTGTCCTGACAGCTCATAACCAAAACACTTTCTGATCTTGATTCAGTCAGTAGCTGTAACCCAGTAAATTCCCACAAGCAGGGTGGTATAATTATTTCAGTCATGTTATCAGAAATTGTAATCTTTTAGTGCTGCATGACATTTGGTTGACATTTTTTTCAAAGTAAGGTTACAGTTTTCACTTTGAACTGTTGGTCATATTTACTGTCTATATATTTATATTTACCAGTGCTTCAAAATGTATTCAGTGTATTTGAAATGCAGATTGAAATGTATGCTTTATGTGTCATCCAGGCAAGAGACAGCCAGAGGTCGAGCCACAGGCTACAGGAGGAGCTGGCAGCCAGTCAGCAGGAGTGTGACAGACTGCAGGGGGAGCTGCAGCAGGTTCTCCTCCAACTTGACACACATGTCAGGTAAGACACATAAAACTAATATTTACACTTAATGGAATGTTATAAAATTAACTCTGGTATTCTGGCTAAGAAAGTTTCATGTACTTTATGATCACCAAGGAAGTACAACGAAAAGCAGAGTCAGCATAAGATCAAACTGCGTCAGGCCAAGCAGGTCTTCCTCAAGGCGACAGCACAGAGGGACCGCACCATCCAGAGACTGGAGAACGATCTGGTGCTGGCCTCCAGCCTCTCACACCAGGTTGCACACATGACACAGGACGCTGAGTCCCTTCACTTCTGAACATCCACCAAGAGATCACTGTGTTGAAAAAACATTTTCTAAAGTGTTTTTTTTCCCCCTCTGGGTTCAATCTTGGGGGTTTTCAGGAGAAAGAGAGGATCCACACGGTGATGGAGGAAAATGAGAAGCTTTTGGAGGAAAAGAGGGAACTGCTGAGGCAGATAAGTGAGGCAGAGGAAATGTGCAGCAAAGGCATGAGGACCGCATCCACTGCCCAACACAGGTATCACCACAAATCATTCTTTATACACATCATGCTAGACAGCAATGTGAAATTTGCTGCTCAGAGGCTTGCAGTCGTTTATTTTTGGAAGCACTTTGAGTATTCCTCAAAGCAATAATGAAAGCTAAACAAAACTGTGACTGACTGAAATTGTTGTTTGATATGAATGAAATCTAACAGTCTGGAGTAAATGATGGTTGATTTAGGTTTGTCTCTCTTGGTGAGTGTGAACATTATTCTGTTACAGGCTCAATGTCTTAGAAATGGAAAACAGACAACTACAGGACCGAACACTGAAGCTCTCCAATCAAGTTAGTTCCTTAGAGCGTGCCCTGAGGAATGTCCAGTCACTCTACAGCCTGGAGGTAACACTATTCACATATTTACACCATGATGGGACATGCCACCCAGAATTCACAGGGTTTCTTTATTGTTTTAAAACAGCTCACACAGCAGTAGTGCAGTGGAGCGAAGGACCTCAAATTTAAGTGTTTGCTGATTGGCTAAAAATGGTGCAAGGTGGATGCTATCACGACTGAGGCTGAATTTTGTAAAGGTGAGAGGAGCAGCTCAGCCTAATTTTAAATGGGTGACATGTCCCTTCTATTGTAATAAAAAAGCTTTCATGTGGTTTGATCATAAGTGGTCCACATGCTCAACAGAATGCCAAGAAAGTGGTCCCCTCTGAAGGTGTCTGTGACAACGTCCTACATAAAACCACGCTGAGGTAAGGTAGAGAACAAATGATGTTGTTGAAATGATTTACTGAGTAAGGTCAGCAAACTCCAGAGACTATAAGTCATCATTTCCATGGAGTGTAGATAGCAGTCAGTGTTTACAGGAAGGTTCATAGTGGGAGGGTTTCTCTGAAGCTACAGTAGCATTGGCTACCAGTTAACATTTACACTAAACTTCAAAATAACTGCAAGATAAAGAAGGAAAAATTACCCATCATTATTAAAGCCCAGGATTCTTGATAATAAATGTTCTACCAATGTGGTTAAAACCAAAATACTGTATGTGAGCATGGTCCACTCTGCTTAAGGGTTATAAAAAAGCCAATCTAATTCTTGCACCAAAAACCAGCCCATGTCAATGAATTAGTAAAGGTACACTTCTCAGGCATGTAGCCACACCTCAGGTATTTCATTCTCATTTATTTGATCTTAACTGAACTGATACTACAGATAATCATTTTTTGTGTGACCATTATTAAGCACACATCCAGAATAACTCCCTATTCATCAAGGGGTAGGCCCTGAGTCTGGATTTTGGGTGGATGGATGACCGGTATGTCATCTGTGTTCAAGAAGATTTTATATTGTAGTCCTCCTGTTGTTACTGTATACTCTCCAAACCTCTTTCTTGTCTAGTAACTTGGGCCAGAGGTTTAATTATGCAACTAAACTAATCTATCAAGAGATATGGTATATTTGTGATTAAGCTCAGTTTCTGTTGTGCTGAAAAATGTATAAGGCAACTGTGTTAAACTTTTCAAAGAATTCCAAACTTCTTGCACTTGTCATATTACACATTACATAAAGATGAATGCTTACATATGCATTTTCTTCCATTTCTTACATTTGTGTTACCAGTCTGACATCAGGCTCCTGTGACCCGCTGGACATCCTGGACAAAATCTGCCGTGTGAAGGTTGTGGACGGCACCCAGGCCTCGGTCTCTACACACCAGCCATCAGAGCAGGGCTACCTGAATCTCACCTCCCCACTGTTTCCTTCAAATGCCAAAGGCCCAGAGAAGAGCTCTAAGAGCAGTGAGCAGGTTTGAGAGGTGGTAGGTTCTGACGTCGTCGTTGCATTTATTTGCAAGACCAAGCTATACCGTCTTGGTTGAGTGCTATATATCAACGTAATGGGATAGCACTATAGCATTCATCACATCAACTGGAGGCAAAGATCTAAATAAAGGAGTGAAACAATATGTAAAATTCACATATCCTTGTTAACAGACAGTAATAATGAAAGGGGGCTTCCACTGCAGTTCTGCTCAGGGTGCTATATTGTCTGTATTGCAAAGCAGATTCTTGCTTGACTTGCCAGTACTGTGTTTTGATCCAAGTTCAAACCGTAAGTGAAAAACCTTCTACAAGTGTCAATCATATATTTTATGATGGGAACAGGATATAATGGAGGATTTTGACTGGGAATGTAGTTATCACAGTTGTTCTTTTTGCGCACATAGGTGTGCACTTGCCTGGGGAGTTGGTCAGCTGTTTACATCAGCACACCAAAACAAATCAGAATGCTTAAAAGCTGTGTGTTTGTTATGGGAAAGATTATTACAAGTTTTTTAATGTAAGGTTGCACTATAAGATGGTGTACTTCAACCTAGCGCAGTGAACGTCAAAAACACATTTGACTGGGAGATCTGATTGAGACCAGCTTAAATTGAGCACTTTATAAGAAGTTTTACTTGTGTTTACATTTGGGAAAATTTTGCATTAGAATGCAACAGTGGAACATCAGTGGTACGTATTTTTCTCCAGTTCAGTTTAATCTTTGCAGTTTTCTATGAAAAAATGCCTAAGTGTTGCATTACTATGTCAGAATCTTTAAAGAATTTTTTACAAAGTCATACTGATATCATGCATAACATTGAGAATGCTGTAGACATGTTCTATAGCGTGCCAGCTGTAGCCACTCCTGTATTTACAATGTGGAGCTTTGCATGTAGTCTAAACAAAAACCATCCAAAAAGCCAACCAGAAGTACTTGCACTTCAGCCACAAAGACTTGTCAGCAGAGAGGCATATTTTGTACATGGTATTAAATACACTACACTAATTATTTCACACCATTATTATTGTGTCAGTGTCATTAACAGTTGTACACTGTGAAAACTAGTCTTTTTCTTGTCTTAAATGTGCCTGAAATGATGAAGTGTTAAGCTTTGTCTTGCTGCTGTGTGAATTTGTCTAATGACAAAAGCCTGAACATCTAAATTGAGATGTAAATGACAAGAACCTGAGACTTTTGTTATATTCATGTAAATATATTTTTAAATAAACTATTTTCATAAATACCAGTGATTAAATAACAAAAGCAATACTTGATTTTTTTTTTTTATTTCTCCCTCTATCTCATTTAGGTTTTTAGTAGGAAACAAACGGTCTCTGATGAATTTGTAACAGTCTGTTTATTAAACAAGGTAAAGATACAAAGTTTTTTTTTCCTTTTCCTTTTTTAAACATTGATAACCTTAGTTTATCTTCTCAGTCTTGGCTGTGCATATTTAGTCATCTAGAAACTGTATATGAAACCACAATGCAAGACAGGAAAAAGTGTAATAAATCTACACAATATCTTTTCATAGAGAACATGGGTTAAACAGTTATCATACAGATTACAGCTCAGGAACTCCATGCGGAAGGAAAATAAAGATGTTTAAACATTTGAATACTGTAGAACACAATACAGAGTAATGAAATGGGATGATAAAACAGTTAAGGCTTACATGTAAATAACTGATAGAAAACATGACTATTAATAACATACGGGTAGACTAAAATAATTACATTAAGTTCTTACATAAACTTTTACAAAACCCAAACAGAACATGTTTATGAAAACTTAAAAATAGGTACTATATATGAGTAACATGTTTTACAGTACAGCAACATGTACATTTTACCATTATCTCAAAAGAGAGTAAGTCTGAAGAGGCAGGGTCTGTTGTTGGCATAAATGTCTGTTTTCAGGCCAGTGGCTTGAGTAATAGGTTTTTAGTCATTTGAAAACATACTATATACTGTATATGTATTTTACATTATTCTCAGTTCCATCTCAAATGTAACATCCAGCCGTACCACCACTTCTGAAGTCCCCTGAAGAATGCAGGGTACCTCAGTAGTACCATCCAGAGTTTAAAGTTACAGTAAAAATACAACAACAAATACTGTGTACAATAAAAAACAGAATACTAAGGAGAAAAAATATTAAAAGGAGAAGCATCACCTCCACATGAACTCATATTATAGGCCTATGGAATATGATTTATACTGCAGTGTAGTCCAAATGGGTAAAGCTTATTAGAGATAAAATCTTATCTGGGTCAGAGTAGCTGTACAATAACTTCACATTTTGGTCCAATGGTTACATTTAAAATTTAGCACAAGAAAAATGCAATTTTTGCTGAAGTGTGTTTAAAAGTAGGGCTGAGTAGAGCTAGTACTGATACATATGCAGTGTGTTCAACGTCTGCAACATACTTCTAATACTAAGGAGAAAAAAAAGGCAAAGCTTAACTGAACAGAGAAAGCAAACACACACAGTTACAAGGTCTGCTTTCTCCTAAAACCCCACCAAGCTTCATATATATGGCACTGGTTAATGGGATGTTGGGAAAACATCATGAAAATGCAGCATCTCTCTGATCATATGTTACGATTATAAAGGTGCCGTAAAGGTGAACCTCAAAAATGGAGTGAAAGGTTTTGGAAATAAAAAAAAACAAACAAACATTCATCTTTCTTCCCTTCCATGCTGCTTTATGTTTTGTCACCCCAAGTCAATAATACTTCTTAATACAACCATAAAATGTTTGAATTGTCATCTACCGATTGCCTTTCCTCAAATCAAGACGACCCTGTAAATGTGTACTTGCACAAAAATTGTGAGTAAAAACAAAGTAACAGAAGACTTTTTAAAAAAAATACAGTCAGTACTCTTAGCTGCCACAAGTAATGCCCTCTGGCATTTTCCAACCAGCAAGATTGAAACAATTTGAGCCAAAACCACAAGGCCTAAAAGTGCTTTAAGATTATCTTTGGATGTTTCCAGAATACACCCAGGAAACATTTTTCTATTTCTCAATTCTTTATGAGGGCAAATATCATCTGGTACATTTTTGAAACCCATTTCATGGAAGAGGAAAAAAAAACAAAGACAACATTTCTGATGGCCAATGCATCCGGCAGTTTACATGACGCTTACGAAAGTGCTTATTATATCTGACGCAAGACATTGTTTGCCACTCAGTCCTCCCTATAACATCTAGCTGCATTGTTACATTCACAAAATAATGCTGTGCTCATGTTTGACAGACGGCCTGTGCCAGGACGAATGGAGGCAGTCTGTTTACTGAATCTAGCACTGAATGCTTATGTCAGCTGTCATAATGCTAATGTAAGCCTTATGTAGATGGCCGTGGGTGCAGGGCCTCATACGTTCCAGCCAAGCATAGACTCTGAATCCGACCTGCTGCTGAACGACTGGGAAGCTCAGATAAGGGAGATGCGTATGGGGATGCTGGGGGACTCGGTCCTCTGGGGCGACTGGTGGCTCACTAGATGTTCAACCACCGTGTGTTTAGACATGTGCTTCATAAGGTAGGTCTCCTGTAAAGACATGAAAACACACAATATGTTCCTGAATGAAACTACTACCATTACTGATACATTAACTTTATAACATTTGACCAGAATATTCAGTTTACTATCATCCAAGACTGAGAAAACGTTGAATTGTGAAATACTGCAAACAGGAAACGCTGCTGCGTTCAGGCCAAGTATCATCAAAGGTCATCATCTTATCAGCCATATAAATAGTAATTGTGTAGGGGTGCACTGGGAGTGTCTGAGATAGTGAACAGATAACTGTGGTTTACTCACTGAGGTGTATGCCCGGCCACACATGCTACAGCAATAAGCCTTAGCGTTTTTAATGGCGTGCGCTGACAAATGGATCTGCAATGACGCGGAGTCTGAGTAGGCACGGTAGCAGTTGGGACATTTATACGGCTTGTCTTTATTGTGCTGCCTCTGGTGAGACTGTTGGGGAAGAAATACACAAAGGTTATAAGAGCCGTCCACTTGATTTAAACTACTTTTGCCTTTTTGTACAGTCAATAATAGACTTGTTTAAATTTTTACTACAAAATGTCACTGAGTAGCTGTCTACCTCAGAATAAGGTAACACATCACATAACACTTGTGACAAAAGTAGGTTATGTGTACTGACCTGGAGGTTAGACAGTTGGGTAAAAGCCTTTTCACATCCGGGGTGAGCACATTTATAAGGCCTATCACCGGTGTGGATTCTGTTGCAAAAGAAGCAGATCTAAAATGTTAGAAACTACTCAGAGCTTTGCTTCTTCATCACTTTAATGAGAAAGACAGCTGAATAAATGGAAGTGTGGCTCAAAGCAATCTGAGACTATATCAGACTATACACATTTATAAACTCCAATTTCTCACCACATTTTGCAGTGACAACCCTGAAGCATCTGAAAAAACAGCCAGGAAAATGTGATTACCTTAATGATACACCTGTAGATGTGAAGGGATGTCAGCAGACAAATTCTTTATAAAAAAAAACCCCAATGTGACTTTCAAAATGTGTTAATTATTAGTCATCCGTAACCACTGAATGTCAGCTTTCACTCGCCAGGGTATAGTTATAGTACATACAGTAAGATGTCAAGTCAGTAGTGGCCATTTCTTTTCCCCATACTAACTTGACTCTGCCTTTTTTGTGTTCACAGCGGGACCGACCTGGTGTGTTGCTGGAGGTGTGACAGCTGACGGAACGAATTCTCACAGTAGGAGCAGTGGTAGGGTTTGATCCCTAGGTGAATGCGCAGGTGCTGGGACAGGTAGGAGGCGTTGGCAAACGTCTTGGAGCAGTGGGGACACTTGTGTGGTTTGGCCTCCGTGTGCGACTTGGAGTGAATCTGCATCTCTGACTTGGTTAAGAAGGTGAGTGGGCACACTTTGCATCTTTATTACAGAAAAGCACAGAAAATGCATAGACGTGATCAGATCAGGCTGTTTCAGTCAGGTTAAAGTTTGTCTTTAAAAGATTGTACAGCATAACACCATTAATGTTTTGAAGTGGTAAACCATTGCTATCTTCAGTCATTTTAATGGCAAATGAAGAAAACATTATCAGTTGTGAATCATAATCTATAGGCACACTAACAGTAGCACTGAGTCCCAGCCACTATGTATGGCTGACAGCTCCCAGAAGTGAAGCCACCGTGAATCGCCCCCTGGTGGCTGGCTGCAGTATAGGTCATAAATCCCGCCTCCTCCATGTTAGTGGATGGGACATGAGCCAAACTAAAAACTCAAAGTAAAATCAGAATAATTTTTCCTAGAGGTCCCTTCTGTGGTTTTTGGTAGATATTATGTATTTGTGTACAAGTGGTCATTTTTCTGGTAAGGATGTTTTTAATAAATTATTTCATGATATAAAAAGAGGTGTATTTCAGTTGATTCGACAGCTTTGATTGGTGGTCTGATGCTGTCACTGCAAAAAAAGCAAGACGGCAGCCACCGTATTCACGATATTTTGGCTTCATTTCTGTATAGTGTAAGGAAGCAGTGGCGCCATGTCCATTGTATATACTGTCAATGGTCCCAGCTAAAGTCAGAGTACACTTAAAATTCAAAAGATTCCTAAAGACCTGTGTACCTTGTACTAACCTCACAAGTTTAACTCTTGCTAGCTCAATTTGCTACAAGGTTTTATTGTGGAAAACAAGAAGTGAGAATTGATTGAGTTTGTTAGCTCTAAGAAAGACGGTTTAGATAATGATATGACTCGTTGCCTCCCACATCTACTGATCCTAATGAAAAACTAAAATGGAATAACAGCAAGAAATTCGCCAGGCTTTTTCAGGTAATAATATGAAGCGAACATCAACTGAGTGAAGCGATAATCCAGGTGACATGTTCATTTTTTAGTGAAGAAGAGCTCAGCTCAGTCATCTAGATTTATTTATCTAGATCTAGGTCTGCTAAAAACCAAACTGGTCTCAAGCAAATAGCTATTGATTCTTTGCACTAAAAGGAAATGTCCTTCCCCCGTGGTGCAGTAAAAACTTGCAAACAATAGTAGCAGCTTTGCATGTCCAACCTGTAGGTTTTGCCCTCTTTGGGTGCAACGGTGACACAGCCTTGGTCAGCTAGGATGGGGTAGGGCACCACCAGCAGAGGACCAGATGTGTTTTCAGCTTTGATCTTCTTCCGTCCCCGGGGTGCCTTGGGTGGGGGGCCCAACAGTCCTGCCAGGCCTCCAGCCTTCATGTGATCCATGCCAGGACCGCTAGCTAGCCCCGAGATTATGTTAACAGAGGGGGCGCCGCCCAGGCGGTTCTGGCTGCTGCTGGTTGGAGTCGTGGGGGTCAGAGCCTCTGAGGTGCTGTGGCTGTCGGGTCGAGATGAAGGAGCCAGACCTGTGGAGGCGGCAGCCGAAACTGCATTAGCAAATACAACTACTACGGCACTACACCTGACTTCTTTTAAAAACTGGATCACTACTTTTGTATGTTCTAGCTTTTTAATTAGAAGTCGTGTACATTTCATTTTTGGTAACCAGTTTTGAATGCATACTACACAGTTTTAGGTTTTTCCAGTGTGAATGATATAATTCTCACTTAGCAGAAACACAAAAGAGCTCACATGACGAGTTGACAGAGTTGAAATCTGACATTTGGATTGAAGTGGAGTTGTCATCAATATGAGGAGTAAAGAGGTGACCACGCAGGTGAAGAAGATATTGAGGCTCAGAAAAAAGCAAAGATGTGTCAGAGAGATATCAGTGGTAGTTGGTTTGCTAAAATCAACAGAAGAAAGCAGGTGTGCACTGGAAAATTAGAAAACGACCAGGTAGACTGAGGAGCACGAGTCTTGTGGCTGATCAGAAAATCATTTGCTTAGTGTATGACTGCACAGCAAGTCAGAATTGTTCTCCAGGATGTAGGCCTACATACTTCCTTGGCAGTGATCAAGAGAAGATTTTGTAACCAAAATCCCAAAGGATTCGCCACAAGATGCAAAACCCTGGTAAGCCTCAAAAACAGGAAGGCTAGGTTACAGTTCACCAAAAAGAACCTGTACAGTTCTGGAACAAAGTTGTGTGGACTACTGAAACAAAAATTAGCCTCTTGCAAAATGATGAAAAGAGGAAAGTGTAGAGAAAAAACGGGAACAGCTCACAACCCAAAGCACCACCTCATCTGTCAAACATGGTGGTTTAGGCAGCTGTGAACTGAATTTAGATATATACAGTATGTGTGTGTGTGAGCCTACTCAAATTAAAGCTAAGGTTTCGCATTTTATTGCTGTATCAGTTCTATTATTTCATACTGAATGTGTGGAAGTACAAGTCTGCTAACTGGTTTTTACAAAACACAGACATTAATGAAAACTAATAGCTACCTGGAACAGTAAAAAAAATATGCCCTGACATTTCTAAAATTGATTTAGAAACACAGTTAGCTTTAATACAAAGATTACAGTACATGGTTGGTATTAAGTAGTCGAAAACTTACTTTGCCACCACTATGGTTGCCAAAGATCTCAGCAAACCGAGAATACTTTCAGTATGTCTTGTCAGTTTACCACAAATCAGGGTCTATGAAGGTTTTGTTTTCATAGTTCATCAGTCAAAAAACTGTGGCACTAACCTCATCAATACTACCATCTCAGTATTATTCCATAAACACTTCAACTGTTCAGCCTGCACAATACACAGTCTCTCGGCCCCACTTTAAACCTCAGGAGTTGTTCTATAAAACACTTGATTCAATGTTTTTCCACACCTTTCAACTAACTAATGATACATTAAGTACTTTGGCAGTTTGCCTTGCTGCTTACCTGAATGTACTATGAGTAAGTGTCCTTGTTTTATGTTCCAGCTACTGTATATCTTGTGCTTCAGTGTATCCCTTCTACCGTAACAACAGAAATGACCGCAGTACCTGAGCGATGGTTGACCCGACCCGGTTGCTCGCTGAGCTGTCTCATGTGCCAGTCTTCCCACAAGCCTTTGGCCTTGACTGCTGACTTGTCGTCCATATTTCCATCTGGGAATTTCCAGATGACATTTTAATCAGTGAACAATTGGGCATTTTTTGATAGAGACAGACCTTAGCAGGCTCATGTCAAAGGATACCATACAGTACAATGTGAAGTCAACAACTGTGGTCTATAGAGGCCCACAACCTTATAATCTCATTTGCTGCATCAAAATTGTGAAAGCTTCTCATTCAACATTATTTAATAAAAATATGTATTCATTATTTTAACTAAATCAACCTCAATACACAACATACAGTAGCTATGGACAGCTCATAGAGATTTAATAACAACTAGGGCCAGGTATTGTTTGGTAGCTTTGTCTGAGTACCAGTACCCAACCTATAAATACGTTTCATTGCAAAACCCTTTTTTCATTTTACAAAAGTGTGCTAGACTCCTCAGTGCATTAGTGTCTGATGTCGTCTTGACACAGACAGCCAAACAATGAGCAGATGAGATAGGGTCTAAAATTAGCTTAGTTCCTGGACTGAAAATATCTGATCAAAGAATTGGAAAACAAGACTAAAAATCTGACCAAGGACTAATCTGACCTACAAAAAACTGAAGTGAAAGCTACCTGGTCCAGAGCTGGAGGCGGGGCGAGCGTGCAGAGCAATGTCCGGCTGTCCTGAGCCCTGCGGCTGCGAGTGGTGGCCTGGCACCTGTTGCGGCTGGGGCTTTGTCACCGACATAACATGCTGAGCACTTTCTGAGGATGAGGTGGGCACCAGCAAGGGCTGCTGGGAAGAGGTGGAGGTAGGCGGCAGGTGCAGGGGCCGGATCTTCTCAGCCATTAGCTGCTCCTTGATCTTGTTAATGAGCACCAGGTTATCCAGCTGAAAGGGTTAACGGGTCATGCTCAACAGAAAACAACCACCATGTGTGAATGCCATTCACGCACCATAAACACATACCAGGACAGAAGACTTGACCACCACACAGTGTAAGATACATTTTTTATCTATGAGAACAAACTGTGACAGATTCTCAGTCTGAGAGTTTGTTTCAGTCACAGATGTGCGCTGAATGGAGGAAAAGACATTCACACGTGGAAACAAATGGCAATGAATGGTGGACATGTCACAGTGATTACATGTCACAAGCGGACTTACCTGGCCTGGCATGGATGGAGGTGGCGGCCAGAAATAAGGGTTGTTAAATCGAGGCTCTGCCATTCTGAAGTGAACAACATTTATTTTAGTCGCATTCAGGATTAATTCTCTCACTATATATTTGTCAGTCTGGGTCAGAGGGGAGTTTATGATGCAAAGCACTGTTTTTTAAAATGCAAAGTGTTTAAATATTCTGAATAAAACCTGTAGGCAGAAAGTGTTAATGTGACAGATTGGCAGACTGACAGACTTAAAATGTAAAGACAGAAATGATAACATCCTAACCACAAAGTTACATAATTAGTAAAAGGTGAGCATTTACGGTTGTGCTCAAAAAGTGCTTGACTCTCCATCCATCCATAGGGGGGGTGGGGAGCCTGCCCCAGCTGCCACTGGGCGAGAGGCGGGGTCCGCCCTGGACAGGTCACCAGTCTGTCTCAGGGCTGACATGTAGACAAACAACCACACACACTCACTCCTATGGGCAATTTAGAGTCACCAATCAACCTAAGCCGCATGTCTTTGGACTGCGGAAGGAAACCGGAGTACCCGGACAGAACCCATACAGACACAGGGAGAACATGCAAACTCTGCACAGACGGGGCCCGGATTGGCCGGGGCTCAAATCCAAACCCTTTTTGCTGTGAGGTGACACTGCTAACCACTGGTCTGCTGTGCCACCCTTCAATGGATGTCTGAAAATCTGTGTGGGTATGTTTCTCTGCACAGGTGGCAAAATTAAGGAAAAACTGGGGATTTTTAATAGGCAGTTCCCTACAACTCAATTTGAAAGGGCTTTCATTATTATATGCTTGTCTTGAATTCTAATTTACTTCAGGACAAATACCAAGGTCGTTTTGTATTGTTATGACAGGTGAGTAAAAACGATGTTGGGTTACTCTAGTAAAGACCCTTTCCAACACAGGTAAGTGTATGTATAAGGTTACACAGTAAATGTTATGTTGGCTTTGCAGTTTATGGGCTTTGACACTTAAAAATAAAATAATTATGACAAAATTACATTTGAATTAAATACACACTTAAGGTAATTTAACTAGTTTAATGTACTTGAAAATTCGTAAAAATGTATTTAAAATGACCTTGGACACATAGTTTGGCTATTTAAAAAAAAATACTCAAGGTTCACTTACTAGAATTACAAACCATATACTGAGGAAAACCATGAGAAGCTGTTGAAAGCCAGAGAAATATAGTATGTGGGCTTTTGAGTTAACACGTCTTTGCCAAAACAACTCAATTAAAAATATTTTCAAGAGTTTTGTTTTAAGGACCTGCCAGTCACATTGAAGATAAAATAAATGGATGAACTCAAAACTAAGAATAACATAGTCATAAATGAAGAGCTGTAACAAACAAAGGTACCAAGGCTAATTTACAGTAAGAATTACTATGATACGTTTGCGCTAATAAATCCGGCCTACAGGGCGGACTGTCCCCGTCCAGTTAACAGGTCAACCATCTAAATGCCACTTCTAAAGAGGGAGTCTTGGCTGTGGAGCTGGAACATTTAGCCCCTCTGTTCCTTTTGTCTGAGACTGAATCCCTGAAAATAAGTGCACGTCGCTTTAAAATTCCACAAACGCAATGAACAAACTTTCCATTCTGCGACTTTTCGGACATGTCGGCTGCGTGACAGCACCTCTGGGCTCGGCCCGGCGGGGCACCGCACGGATCGAGCCTCCCGGTGCGACTCAGACATTCTCAGTGAGTTTTCTTAAAACATTTCCAGACAAAAGAGAAACAAAAATGGCAGCCTTATTTTTATAAGGCGGGACGCCATATTCTGCAGACCCCAAAAATTTTAGGAGCATGAACATCATGTCGTGAGGAGGGTGCTGGGGACGAGAAGCGACAGACGAGGACACAAAAAAAGCCTTATCATGTCAAAGGCATGAATGATTGTTTACGGCGAATTGCAGGTTTGAATAGCCCGGCCTCCCCACCTCTTAAAAAAACTGACACTTCCTACAACAACCATGCCCTGCGAAAACAGCACGGAAACGGACAAGATGCAGCCTCGACCCAAACACCACATCGATTAATGCGGCCGTAGCGACGCGTTAAGGTCAGAATATAAACGGCGCACAATCCCTCGTCTCCCGAAAGACGCAGTGCCATCTTAACCAAATTCCACTTTTAGGGCTGCTTTTTTCACATTCTGCAACTTTTGGACGAATCAAAGGACAGCGATTGCATTCTGTGCACTATGCACGGATTTCGGAGTATGTCGCTTATTATAGAAATGCACAACAGCGGAGACACAAAAAGACATGCACAAATACCTTGTGTCCTGATTGCAGATATTGTCTTGCGAGTACAGCTATAATATAAAAGGTTGATGTTCTTTCTGCCTGCCTCCAGTCGCTCCACCGCTTCCGGGTCGCTTTGTTCACTTCTGGGTGCTGCTGCGGGCTCAGTACAGTACAGACACGGAGGGAAATGTTCTGCTAACGTCGCTTTGGATTTCTACACCATGGCCTGTTTCATCGGCGTTTAAATGGACGGCGCGTTCCCGATCAGACTAATCTAACGCTTCTCATCGCGTATCGGTTGGATTTAGATTACAGGAACGCGCGCGCAAATAGAAATAGAAATAACGCACCACATTGTAAAATACAGACTGTCCGTAGTAGCCAAGTATAAAAAGAAAAAAGTGATGAAATAAGAAACATGGCTCCTTTCAGGGTATTAGATGAATTAAAGTGTGCTGTTAAATGTTTTAATATGCGTCACATTTTATGATTTCATCTTCATATTTATGTTTTATGTATGAAACTGTACAAATAAACAGATGGGCTAGTGGAGGTAAAACGTACACTAGTTCTGAAATGCAATGGAACAGAAGAAGAACACATGCCAATGCTTAAATGCATCTCTGTCTAAGTGACAGCTTTTTTCATTCGTTACCTTTTCGTACCTTAGTAAGTCTAATTGAGATAAAAGTCATTTTTCAGAGCCCTGGCCAAGAGGGCAGCATAATAACGTTGTTACAATAATAAAACATAAACAGCCTAATAACCTACCTCTGTCACACAAAGGGTAGGAATGAGTAGTTAACAGGCATAAACCTGGGATACATTGGATTAAAAAGCAAAAGCGATTTAAATGGTTACATTAAAATGTAGCACAATAACTGGACTCATGGTAGCACACATACTCAAAACCTTTTGTTTCTTAAACACATGTAGCCATTTTTGATGTTGACATCTGGATGTGTTCTGTGCCCCAGATACCCAACTAAGCAGGTGTAGGTGTGCACCATCATTTTATTTGTATTGTACAGTAGTACAAGTACTCAGAGCTTTTACATAAGCAGAAGCAGCAATACCACAGTGCAATTCAACTTTTACTTAAGTAAAAGTATAAAAGTAGTACCAAATATACTTAAAAGTAACAATAGCGAATGGTGTCTTTAAGCAGTGATTTATGTCAGAATAACATATTACTGTGTACATCACTATAACATTGGTAAAGGTAGGGCAGACTTTAATGGGCCCTTGTTTCTGCTGCCCAGTAAGTGAGTTCATACAGTGTAAAGCAGCTTTTGTGTAAAGGAAAGGAGATTTGTTTCTAGGAAGGAATTTAAATTTTGTACCTTAACTTTCCAATTTGATTTTTGGTCAGCTTAGATAGATAGATAGATAGATAGATAGATAGAAATACTTTATTAATCCCAATCTGGGAAATTGCATTGTTTCAGCAGCAGTTCACACTCAATATCAAGCACACATACCAATACCAGCTTTGAGAGAAACAGCCATAAATGACTGCCCGTTTAAAGACTCTAGATATAAATTATAGACTAAATGAACAATATACCACAAGTAAATCATCTGTTACACATTTAGAAGTTATTGGTTATAAAGGTTAAATTGCCTGTACAATATTGGGTCGAGGTGTTTTGCTGTGGCAGGCGGAGGAAGTCTGTGCTGAATATTGTGTTACTGTGTGTGTGTGGGGGTGTTTATGTGGTTTCGTTGACTTCCCTGTTTTTCACATCACTTCTTTTGAAGCCTCCAGAGGACCCACATTTGACTCAGTTTTAAAGGAAACCTTGTGATGGCTTAACGTCAGTCAGAATGTTTCATCCCGCTGATGACTGTATTGGTGTCCTCACATGGTGATAGCTGCTTCGAGATAATCTCACTTTTTTATGAGTGAAACTAACTCTCACCTAAAGTTGGTTGTTTAGCTTCCTCATGATTTATTCTTCCAACATGAACTTTGTTTTGGTAAGTAAATTCTGATGTTTTATTTGTATCTGCATGTTCCATTTAAGGATGATTTAAGTTCACATGAGAGGATTTTAGGTCATCATTACTCATTGTTACGAAAACTGTAGTTACCATGGAAGTAACACGCATTCATTATTTCTCAATATTTGTTAGATACAGTCAGTTAAAGGGATTGCTATTGTTTTTAAATTGATTATTATTTTATGAACTTTTAATTTGTGTATTTTTTGGGCAGTTGTAAATCACATTAGAGCACCAATGTACAACCCACTATGCTGTGCATCCTCGGTGTACAGTGTGGTTTTGTACGTTTTAACATTCAGGTTCAGTGTGTTGCTTCTTATGAGCTTGTGCAAAATCTTTAGGTTGTATTGATCAGAGACACGAAGTCATATGTGGATTAGTGAAGTGATGAAGTTCTCTCACTAGTGGGCTTCTCCGTCCTGGTCTTGCAGCTCTAGTAGCAACTACATGTTTAATAATCCAATAAGTTTAAGATGCAGCTAACTAGCTCATAATTAACATTATTGTTTAATCTGCTGATTGTTTTCTCTATTAATTGTTTGGTCTGTAGAATGTCAACAAACATCCAAAAAAGACCTATCACGGGTTCTCAGTGTCCAGCGTGACGTCTTTAGGTGTCCTGCTTTGTTCAACCAGCAGGCCAAAGCCCCAAAATATTAAATGTACCATCACAGAATTAGCAGACTACCTTCCGATTACTTTCTAGCAACTGACTAATTGATTAATTAACTAATTGGTTCCCCTCAAATATACAGTATATATCCAAGATTCAAGTTTTTTTTATTATTTGCCATGTATGCATAAACAGACAGTATAGGCATAGGCATAGGAATTCTTGTGCAGCTCTCCTTTGGAGTGAGGTAAGGAGTCCAAAGCCAGCAAGAACACTTAGTCTTAAAACAGAAAGGTTACATAAGGGTGACAAAGCATTAAAACCACAATACACAAAAATAGGGTAATAGTATTTCCCACAGTGAACTTCAAAAATCACACTTAGTAATTCACATGGTGGAGTTGAATATGGTAATACGCTTGGTGAGGAAGTGAGGGGTTTTTGCACATGTCTAGTAAAAGTGTCTAGTATAAGTGTGACCAAATAAATACAAATATTTGTTTTGCAATAATTTGAAGATAGCCCTGGATGAAGCTAAACAACAAACTGCTTCCTGACTGGCAGAATTAACTTAGGAGCCAATACTTCAATCAAAGCCCTTTTTCAAATCAAATCAAATCAAATTTTATTTGTATAGCGCCAAATCACAACAAAAGTCATCTCAGGACATTTTACAAAGTAAGGTCTAGACCTTACTGTTATCAATATTATTACATCGGGAAAGCCTAACAAATCCCCCTTGAGCAAGCACTTGGCGACAGTGGGGAGGAAAAACTCCCTTTAACAGAAGAAACCTCCGACAGACCTCGGCTCTTGGTGGGCGGCCTTCTGCCTCGACCGGTTGGGGTGAGTGGATAGAGGAGAGACAAAAGAAGAAAAGCAACAAGACACAACAATCAAACACTGATCAGGTCGATGTGGCTGGTGACTGCTCGTCAGAGACGTAGAGCTCCAGGGCCAGGGCAACCTGCAGAAAGGTACAGGGAGAGAGAGAGGACACACTACAGGAGAGAGGAGACACAAAGTTAGTAATGTGTAATGGTGGCATATAGAAGCATAGGGAGAGGAGAGGAAGGAGAGAGCAGAGCAGAGCAGAGCAGGAGGGGAGGGGAAAGAAACTCAAAGCATCATTGGGCCCCCCAGCAGCCTAGGCCTATAGCAGCATAACTAAGGGAAGGCTCAGGGTCACCTGATCCAGCCCTAACTATAAGCTTTATCAAAAAGGAACGTCTTAAGTCTAATCTTAAAGGTAGAGAGGGTGTCCGCCTCCCGAACTGAGACTGGGAGTTGGTTCCATAGGAGAGAAGCTTGATAGCTAAAGGCTCTGC